GAGAGAAAAACACAAAAAGTGCTAATAAACATTTTTTTTTAAATTATCTCGGTTATATTTTTTTTAAAAACATTTTTTTACGGCGTACAGATTCTTGGTAAATTCATTTTGTCGGTTTTTCTCTCGTTAGGTTGAGTTTTAGGAAGAAGTCGGGGGCAGGAGTGATAAACTTTTTTTGCATATTTCTTGAGATCACAAAATTGACATTCTCAACAAAATTTAGCTTGGTAATATGATTTTTAAAGGTTTAGTGCGGACTACTGGAGTATTTACATTTTTAAATGCCAGAAACACAAGCTGTATCAATTAAACGTGGATACAGACAAGGTTGTGCAGTTGGTTAAAATTAAATGTTTTGGTAAAATTTTAATTTTTACCAAAAGGGTTTTACCAAAGTATAAGACAATTCTAAATTTCCTGTTCAAATGTTATGACCAAAATAAATATCATTCAAAACTCATAACTTTGATTAATTAATAATGATTAAAGTATGGCAGCAGATATTTTTTAACGTGTTATGTTTACTTATTCAGATGTTCACTTATTCTAACATTTAATGGCCTTGATGATTCACCTAAATAAAACTGATCGCATTCACAAGGTATTTTATAAATGCGATTCTTTGTCCTTTCTTGTTCATTGTTAGATTTGGTTTTGGACAAAATAGATCTCAATGTGTTTGTTGTTTTGAATGTTGTTGAAATGTTGAATTTATTTTCTATCCTTTTAAGTTTTCTGATAATCCTTTTATGTACGGTATCTATTGTTATTTTTTTCATATTATTCCTTGTGTATGCTGTAGGATCTCGTTCTAAGTTGTTCTGTTCTATTCGATCGATTGTTGAAAATTCCTTATTTATAAACGATAAAGGATAATCATTTTTTAAAACAGATGTTAACAAAATGTTTCTCCTCCAAGAACGAAATTTCGTTAGGACAACTAATTTTGGCTCTATCATATAAGAATTTAATTATTTCCTTTTTTACATTAATATTGCGATTTGATTTGAAATTTAAATATCTATAGGTGTGTGTTGGTTTTCTATACACCTGAGTCTCATATACAGTATCGTTCTTAAAGATTAAAACATTCAGGAAAGGTAGCGTGTTATTATATTCCTTTTCCATGGTAATTAGTGATTCCATGATCATTAGTGATTCCATAATTTACTATAGAATCACTAACAGGAGAATTTTGCTGTCATCATGCCATGTGTTTGTCTTTTTAAAGACGAATTACATGCTATCATTTTTTTTGGACGGATATTCTCAAGTTAAAGTCGATAAGTAAAGTCGTCCCAGGAGCGCAAATCAACAATATTGGCAATATCATTTTAAAGTCGTCTACTTTAAAATGCATAATGTATGTCTGAATTGTTAATATAAATGAGTCAGATAAAATTAAATTATTAGAAGAATTTTTCACTATGTAACAAAAAACAAAATTTGTTTAATTTACTGTTTGTATTTTGAGAACGATTTCCGAAGTGGAAATTGAAACGTCAATAAACGTATTTTTTATCTTTAATTGTGGCTTATTTCCAGTTAAATAGTGTTATAGATTGTAGCGATTTAAAATGTTTTTTATCATTAGGTATGCATACATCTATACAGCTGGATAGACAAAGGTTTCTTTGAGCTGTATAGATGTATGCTTAATGATAAAAAACAGTATATCGAGACTTTTTGTGTAACACTAGATGACAAATAAGGTACAAGTACACCAGAGAGCTACAGAAAAAAACATTTAAAAATAACTATAATAGATAGAAAAAATAACAAATGCATTAGGCAACGGACAACAGTTGAAGGCTTAATATAAACAGTACGTTCCTCAAAAAGGACACTTAGTTAGAGGTCAAGAAAGCAGGAGTGGTACTGTGACTAGGTGGACATCATGGGGAGAAAAAAGAAGCATAGGAACACCGCAACAAAGATGATATGATGACTTTAAAACAACTAAATTTGTTCTAGCTAGCCCAGACTAAAGAAAACTGAAGAGCAATGAGAAAGGCATATACTGAAAAGATAGAAAATGCTGAAGAATAAAAAAAAGTATAGAAACTTAAATCCAAAGATTAACAAGATATTTTTTAGATATTTTTCCACCTATTTGGTAGCGTACAATGGTTCCAACCTCCCTAATAACCATAAACGAAAACAATTAATTAATTAATATAAGGTTGAATGCTCGAATACATGAACTTTGAAAATGAAAGGTATATATCGAGCACAATATTAACAATTCAATCTTGCCCAAGTACTTTTGCTTAAAACAGCATCTTCAGGGGCATTTTGTAATGTGTCTTGACGAAATGCCCCTAAAGATTTTGTTTTAAGCGAAAGTACTTGGGCAATATTTAATTGTTAAAATTGTGCTCGATATTTGCCCTTTATTTTCAAAATTTAATTAATTAATTACCGTTTTCTGGCCTTTGCAGTTAAAGAAATGAGCACACAGAAACTTAAGCTACAAAATTTAATGGCAGATTCTAAGAAAAATAGATGATTTCCTTTTTTGTCCAGCATCATGTCCCCAATAAACGTCAATGATCATTCTGGTCCACATATGTTTCAGTAAACTAGTTTTCGACGTTTATCGGTAAAAATTAGTTTTTGGTCTTGATCTACTGTTCATATAAAACTAATATTGCACTGCAAAAAAGGAGATAAAGAAGACTCCAACAATTATAGAGGTGTAAATCTACTGAACATCGCACTTAAGCTTGCCACAAAAGTCTTAACCAAGAAAATCAATAAACTAATAACTTTAACAGATGAACTACAAGGATTCAGATCCGGAAGATCCTGCGTAGATGCCGTATTTGTACTAAGACAATTCACAGAAAAGACCATCGAGTACAATAAACCAGCATATCTATGTTTTATAGATCTGACAAAGGCTTTCGATCGTATCCAAGTCGAAGACGTCTTACACCTACTGTATAAAAGAAACATCTATATCAATATCAATCAGTATTATATTTACCATCAAAAACATCTACTTCCATACTCAAATACAGGCAAAGATAAATGAAGAACTAACACAGTGTATACCAGGGCAAAGCGGACTCAGACAGGGTGACTCGTTAAGCCCACTTTTCTTTAATATAATAATGGACAAAATATTACAAGCAGTAGCTAAAGGTCATGGTTACAGAATGGGGAACAAAGAAATCTAAACATTATGTTATACAGACGACGCCGCATTAATTGTCAAGACAGAAGATGTGCTCCAAAGATTAACTCACATCTTTAATACAACAGCTAAGAAATATAATATGATAATATCAGCAGGAAAAAAACCAAATGTATGACAACATCTAAATATCCACTACGACGTAAAATCAAAATTGATAGGAAATAGTAAAGCAGGAAGCAAGGTTTAGATATCTGGTAATTCATATAACCAGTTACGGAAATGTTGAAGAAAAAGTAGGACAACAAAGCTTAAAAACAAGAAAAGCAACAGGATCTTGTAATGACACAATCTGAAAGAACAAACATTCAAGACAAGATATATAAACAAGAATCTCTAAAGCAGCAATTAGATCTATATTAACAATAACGGCGGAGACCAGACCTGGCACATCTAAAACGAGACGACTACTAGAAACAACACTGATGAAAATACACGAATATCAGGGAAAAGTCTGTTGGATAGAAAGAGAAGCAAAAACATATGAATAGGGGGTCAAATGGATAATAGGAATAAATGGATGGGTGACAAAACAGAAGTAGAACGAACACATTAGTAGAATGGCAGAGAAGAGAATAGTACGAATAGCACTTGATAAGTCACCAAATGGACGAAGAAGAATTGGCAGACCAAGAAAAAGATGTTGGGATAATTTAAACAATTTAGTCGGCTAATATTAAAGAACAAACAAGCTTTAAAGCCTACATACAAAAATAAAGAATAATACGATCTACTGTTTGCAAATACCAATACATCAATGAGATACACATCGTCCTGCAATAACACTACATTTAGAATGCTGTTATTTTCTTCTATCCTGTTTCTGAGACATTAAACGCGATTACTCCGTACAGCAGGATATTAATTCGATCATCATCCCTGCGAAAATGGTATCTGAAGCATCTTCTAGTTGTACATTAATGACCAACATATAAACAGTGTATAATAAATATTAACATAAATCAGGTAAAAAAATCTTAATATCTCATATCACAACCTAACAACCCTCCCAGAAGAATCTTTATATCACAGTCCATGTGGAGTACATATATAAGTAGAATGTTGAAAATGTTGGAATGAGGATGTTTAAAAAGGATTAAAAAAGTGGTATGTCAAATTTACAAGGGCCAAAGGAATGAATGATAAACAAATTTTCCAAGTTAGAGTTTTTCATTTAGAGCTTCAGCACTGTTAATAGTGATGATTTTCTTCTTGATTTGTACCCCTATGTCATTTTAATAAAAAAGTATAAATGAAGTACCTTTTTTGAAGACAAAAAGAACAAACCTTAATATGGTACTGCTGTAATTGCTTGTTACTAAAAATTAAACCCATAATAGATCTAAGATAGCGACTTATAAGGGCCCTATTCTTTATTGCTCTAGGGATAAATTTTATCAGTAATGATGCAGCAAGAAAATTTACCATGATGATAATATTGATTTTTTGCAAGATGGTTGTCATTGGTTAAGAAACAAAATAAAATGAAAACGCATCATTGAGTCTTACATGTCAGTTTAAGATACAAACCAAAAACTATTCCCAAAATATTTGTTTTTTAATATTTTACATAAAATATATTATATTATTGATAGTATTAAATATTTTAATTTGCTATTTTATATTTTTAGCGTAGGTCACATTAGTTTTCACCCACTTTTTTATATTGTTATAAAATTGTCCAATTAATTTTTACATATAATTAAAATATGTATTTGTATTAAATAAATACAAAACTAATGAACAAAAATGACTTCTTAGAATACGTATTATTTTATATAAATAATAAGAAAGTACGAACCAGCAGAAAGAGGTAGTACCCCAGCATATTCGCAGATCTTCCGGTACGCGGAGTATAAACAAACTATAAAAATGTCTCACGCACCAAAATGCACTGTCCGCAGTCGCAAATAAACACAAGCACTAACCTGAGCAGCTTTTCCGATCTGTATACCTGAATAGTTCTTTCTAATCCGGACCGCCGATCCAAGATCCTCCGGTGCCCATGCGAAGGAGAGTCGAGTCGAAGTTGCGAACGTAGGCGTGCCCCGCCACAGCGGTCGGAGGTCGAGGCACAATGCAAGGTTGTGCGTGTAACGCATGAAGTCATTTGGGTGCATCTGTGCGTTTATGTAGGGCAGAAACGTGCAAAAAATTTGCATGTCATACGGCTCCCAAAAATATTTTCTTATCGATATTTATTAATCAACATTAAGTATCCGATTTACTAACTTCTTTAATTGCTTAAACTTTAATTTCTGGGAATTGATTGTATATCGATGGCGTCACGACAAAAAGGCATAAGCGCCAAAATTTCTAAATTTATGTTTTGGTATCAAAATAAAGTACATTTTACGTCCTATCTACTATTAAAAAGACGCAGCTGTAAAAAAATTCCAACTCAACTAAAACAAGCTTTGAATTTTCTAACCGCCAAACGAGTTTCGTAAAAGATAAGACACCGAAATCAGTAAGCGACAAGATCCGTAGTCAAAGATGGTGCTTACGTCTTGGGTCTGTAAACGTGGTTATATCAATAAGATAAACAATAATTTGAAATATTATTAATATTTAATGTTTTGTTAAGCGTTTAGTTACATTATTTATCTTGAAAAATGATAATATACCATAAGAATCTACAATTTTACCGACTCTCGGTTACGGCTTTTTAGAAAAAAAATTTTCGTTTATCTAACCGCGATTTGGCCATTAAAAATACACTATGACTTAAATTTTCCATAGAAAAGTTACTACTTAACCGACTTAAATAAGGATTAAACCTAAATAAAATATATATTTACTCGGTTGTATAGTCTTCTTTTCTTTTAATTTTAAAGTTATATTTTGGTAGTAATATTATTTTAAAAAACTAACATTTCAATGGCGCTTACTTCTTTTTTTTTTAATGGCTTTTAGAATGGTTTCTCGGGGACACAAAATATTAAATCTTGCATTGCAATCCATTTTGGAGAATAAGGAAAGCAATGTGCAGGAATCCAGCGAAAATAATAAATACCATAGTTAATTTTCCACTGAAAATGAGGTCCTCAATGAAGCGGTAAAGCATGATGTTCTTTTAGAGCCTATGCTAAAAGACCATGAACAAGAACTTCAAATGCCTAGTTCTGTTTTAGATGATGATGCCATTGTGGATTTCAGTTTTCCTCTAAGTCCAAATTTGAAATTAACAGCCGTTTATTTTCGAATACTGATGAGACTGCCGAAGAAGACACTGATTTATTAACCTGTGATAAAAAGCTTGTACCTTACTTAGATAGTGATGATACTGATTATAGTAATAATAAAGCCGCAATAGTATTTAGTTCATTAGTTGATGATTAGATAGGTTGTAATGATTTTATAAAACATAATGATTCTTTAAACTCCGAATCAGATTTATCATCCTTGACAGTATTTCTTAAAAATGAGATTGAAATTGACAGCATTAGTTCTAGCCCATCAACTGGTTTAATTTCTAGTAAAACATCAGGTAGTTCATCTCAAAGCACTCAACCTGTAGGTAGAGGACAAAAAAGACAAAAAAAGGAAATTAATTTATTACGTTATTGAAGGTTACGTAGCTTGGTGAAAAGTTATTGTAATTATAAAATCGAACGTGTTGCTGAAAACATTTTGCTGTTGTGATGTTTAGGCAAAAAATGTGTCAATCAATGTAATAGCTTTAGTACTGAGAACAGAAATAGTATTCTTAAAAAAATTTGGAACCTAGGTTTTAATTTAGATAAGAAAAATTTTATTAATGGTTGCGGTAATCTCATTGGTATTCATGTACCTAGAAAGGATAAAGGTTTCACATAAAAAATGGTACGTTTTAATAGTTTTTTTTTGTTGTTTGTTGAATACTCTTTCAGTTTATTTTCTTGTTATACTTAATATAACGTGATAATTATATTAGTTTAGTTTTTGTATGATATTTTTTTACACCAATATAACTCTAAGAAACTCATAAATATATTGTGTTTTGTTTATTTTGTATTATTTTTACTTAATTGTTATGCTTTAAAAGGAAAAGATTTATTCTCCATTTTTATTATAACTCCGTAAAATTAAAAGGCGTACAAGATCCTAAGCGACATTTTTTGATCAAAATATTTTTTTCCAAATATGGTAACCCCCTTTCAAAGAGGCTTATACACCACAGAACCTAACATTAAAGGCGTAAGCACCAAAATGTTAAATATCTCATGTTTATAATAATTTTTTTATAACTAACATATGGAAAGTCAAAATGCCTCAGTCCAATAATAATAAAATGCCAAAAAAAGTAAAAAAAATAAATATTAAGCGATATTAAACGTTTTTTGTGTCTCCTGAAAAAAACTGTCAATGGCGCTTATGCCTTTCTGTCGTGAGACCATCGATATGACACTTGCAATTCAAAACTTTATTTATTTGATGTAACAATAATTTTCAAAAATTAATACACTTGTGTCCATTGACACAACATAATAAAACTAAAAAAACACAGAAGTTAAAACACTTCACACTTGTATTGTGGTATAAAAAACAAATAGTTAAAACTTTGTAAAAAGTGTCGTCAAAATTTAAGTACTAGCATAACGTTTTCGATCTGAACAGATCATCCTCATTGCCTTGTGTAATTGTAGCTAACAATAAAGTTATCTGTGAGACCTCCATATATAGATTTACATCATTCCAAATGTTACATTTTGATTATGTTGTGACTCTAGGTCGATGACAATGGATAAATTTAGAGTCACAACATAATCAAAATGTAACATTTGGAATGATGTAAATCCGTATATGGAGGTCTCACAGATAACTTTATTGTTAGCTACAATTACACAAGATACTGAAAAATAATAAATAGAAAATATTTATTACCGTGACGTAACAATTTAATTACGTGGAATAGAAGAAAACTAGCAAATACTCGAAAATAGTATAAAACCAGCTATAAATAGAAATATAACAAAGAGTAAAAGGAAAAAGAAGAAAGAAGTTGGACACAGTATTTGAAAAAAAAATAAAGGTAAAGCAAATATATAGACAAAATAAGTTGCCAACAAAAAATGATAACAATAAAAAGGGATATATTGGACAGAAGAAATTAGTAAAGAAAATTTGCCGAAGGAAGAAAAGAGAGCTTTTAGAATCAACCTCAAAATATGAAAGAAAAATACCGATATACAATATTTTTACAAATATGTTAAAAAAATAAGCAGAGGTTACAATTCAAAAACGACATACATAAAAACAAAGAAGATAACCTGATAGGAAATGAACAACAGCAAAAGAATAAATGGAAACAATATTTAAAAGAACACCTGAACGGTGAAATAAAGAAGGAAAACGACAATGAACGAGAATCAATACCAATGGATGGAATAGGTAGTGCAAGACCAACTAAGGGTGAGGTTGAGAAAGTTTCAACTACTATGAAAAACAGTAAAAGGTCTGGAGAAAATAGAATAGCATCAGAAAACTTAAAATATGGAGAAGACTACCTGAGAAAAAAAATTTACAAACTGATATGGATATATATCTGGGAAGAGGCAATAATACTTAAAGAATGGTGTAAGTACATATACCTAATACATAAAAAGGGAGACATGTAAAGTTGTAATAACTATAGAGGAATAGCACTTCTTGACGTTACATACAAAGTACTGACAACCATACTAAAAACAAAAATAGAAGTGTACACAAAAAATATATTGGGCTACTATCAAGCTGGTTTTAGAAAAAAATCAATCAACTAGTGATCATATAATTATGCTTAAACAAGTTCTCTTTGATGATTTCAATCTAAGAAATTCAGACTGGTACCTATGACGTTTCGGAACACTACAAACGCAGTTAAGATTAATGAAAAGAAGAGTCAATACTTTTGAGTTCAGAAAGATGTAATACAAGGGGATCCTCTATCCACCACGTTGTTTAATTTGGCCCTTGAAAAGATAGTAAGGGATCATATGAATTGGGCGGGAATAATACTTAATAAGAGTCACCAGTGTCTAACATATATCGATCATGTTGTACTTTTGGCAAGGAGTAGAAAATAATTACAAAAAATAGCTAAGAATCTGCTAGAGTTCACAGAAAATATGGGACTACATATAAATATAAATAAAATAAAATACATGGAGGTGAAGAATAAGCAAAAGAAAAGCAGAAAACTAAATATGAAAATTTCATTAGAGACAGAAATTATGAAAATGAAAGAGGTGTGGGATGACATGTATCTACGAGTTCTTGTGACAAATAAATGCGAAGTAAAAAAATAAAGTAGATCTACGAATAGCAAGAGGAAACAGGTGTGAAGTTTGCAAAGAATAATAAAATCGACAGAGGTATCAAGAAATACAAAAATATCGCTGTATAAAACTATTCTGCGACCTACTCCACCGTATGGGTGCGAGACATGGGTGTTAACAAAGAAACTAGTTATAACAGAAAATTGAAATATGAAAACGAAGAATATTAAGAAGAATTATTGGAGAAAAGCTGACAGAAACAGGATGGGAGCGAAAAATAAATGCTGAAATTTATGAAATGTTCGGCGAAGGGAGAATAAGCGAGTTTGTCAAAGCTAGAAGATGCAGAGGCTAGGTCATCTTGTTAGAATGAAGAACAGTAGAGAGGTGAAGAGCATAGCATGAAGAACACCGGAAGATAAAAGGAAAAGAGGCAGACCGAGGAGAAGATCTACAAGAAAAAAAAATAAAAAATTGGAGGAAAAAAGCTAGAGACAGAAGGAGATGGACGAGAATTACTAAGCTATAGACCTGAAACGGCCTGCTATAAGCTTTAATGTATAACAAAAAAATATAAAATAAAATTTAAAAAAAAATGAATAAGTAGACCACCAAATATTTTAACTATAAAACTTACTACGGGCTAGAAAGAAGTTATTATTTTTGTATATGAGAATAACGATATGCTGTAAGACAGAAATGAAATATTGAGACGGATAGAATGAGTTTTTTAACTATTGTTAATATTTGATTGTC